ACACACACACACACACACACACACACACACAAGAACCCCAACAAACACACACACACACCCCAACAAACACACTCACACACACAGATCCCCTTGAGTAATACCGTTTACACACTGACAGAAACGACCTGATTACAGAAACTTGAGAAACAGATCGATTGTTTTAAAGGCTGTGAATGAATTCAACAGTGTAATGAAAGATGGAAAACATGATCTCTGAGATCAGATAAACTCCTTCTTCTGACAGAGGAAACCGATGGATTCATGAGTGTATGTGCTCTCTGATATGAAGCCAGATGAACAGACAAATATTAGGACTGCACGATTATGAAAAAATCAGAAGTGTCGAGTATTTTGCTTGATATTGCACTTGCAATTATAAACGATGATTAATAGGATTTACATGAAAATCTTTTTTGAGGGAGCAACTGCATGTCATATTCATGATGTAGATTAAACATCCGATGTTTAAAAGCATCTTTGGTCAAAAAATCAGACTGAATGGGTTAAAGTGATGGTTCATCCCGTCTTACTGTCTTTCTTCAGAACACAAAATGAACTCAAAAGCTAATGTATATATTGTGTATTAATGAACAGAAACGAAACCCTTGATTATTTTACTTCTACAGCAGCTGCGTTTACTTGCAACCAATTAGACAATCTGTTAGAAATACGATTGACCGCTCAGATTGAAAAACCTTCACTTAAACACCTCAATCGATCCGATTTGATCAGATTACACATGAAATAATCCAGTCAATAGGGACAAATTAAATATGTAAATGCTTGAATCTCATTGATCTGGACTGATGATGATCAGTGACTGAAGCGTGATGAGAGCAGCAGTGTGTCGTGTCTTCATACTCACAGATGATAAGGAGCGTGTTCTTGTTCTGCGGCGTCTGCTCCTCTGCTCCGCACAGAAGTCATGTCTGAAGAAGCTGTCTGTGAGCGTGCCGTTCCTCTCACAGCTGGAGACAGAACAACACCAGAGACGCAAACAGGTCAGAACAGGTGAGCATGCTCCACACAGGATGTCTTCCTGTAAAGAGATTTGCTTTACACGGCAAAAAAGGCTTATCTGACTTAGTCTGGTTTCTAGTCAAAATATCTACAAATTCTTACATTAAGATGCATTCACTTGATAAGCAAAACCACATGAGATATTTGTGACCCTGGAGCACAAAACCAGTCATAAGGGTCAATTTTATGAAACTGAGATTTATGCATCATCTGAAAGCTGAATAAATGGTTTGTTAGGATAGGACAATATTTGAAAATCTGGAATCTGAGGGTGCAAAAAAAAATCTAATTATTGAGAAAATCATCTTTAAAGTTGTCCAAATGAAGTTCTTAGCAATGCATATTACCCATACAATGTATTGTTTGGCTATAGGTTGTTTGCAATCACGTGATTCTGATGAGGCGCGAAATGCAGCTGGAGGGCAGGAAGTGATTTTTCTCCATAGAAATCACTAGCAGAAACTCAAAATGCCTGTGTTTTGCGTTGTTTATGGATGCTCAAATCGACCAAACCGAGCAAA